TAGGAGACCCCCCCCGACCCCCCCCGGCAACCAAAGAGGGGCTATCTCCCCAGGGACCAAAATAAGAAAGGGAAAATAAACCCCCCCCCCCCGAGAAACCACATAGAGAAAACCAGGGGGGGTTTTCCCAGTTTTTTTGGGGGGGGGCTGACAAAACCCGGCGAGATAAGTTCGTCTAGGACCGGAGCAATTCCGGGAGGCGCTCACGGGCCCTCCGTAGAGGAGAGGGGGCGCCCATACACCCGCGCACGGCCGGGCCCCCCCCTGCCAGTACGCCCCCGCCCGCAGCCCCCGGACGCCCGCGGTGACCTTGGAGCTCCTGGCCGCCCGTCCTTCTTCGGAGTCCCTGAGCAGGAGCTCCGGCCGGAAGCGCCCCGGGGCACCCTTGGTTTTTGGAATCCAGCGTCGCCCTTACTCCCTCGTGACAGCTGAGAAGTCAGGATCGGGCCCCCGCCGCCTGAAATACTTGGATAAGTGTCCTCCTCGCGAGCGCCGTTCCGCTTGTCCCGGGGAACGGGGTGAGGCGCCCGGAGGAGACTTGGAGGCAAGAACCGCGCCGAGCAAGGGCGGACTGTGGTTTCAAGTGCGGCCGACCGCCGGCGGGTCGGTGCGGCCGGAGAAGGGACCGGAGCGGTGCGTCTTCGCCGGATGATGAAGCGCGACGATCGCTGGCATTTCCACCAACCGGAGGGCGCGGTGCTCAGGTGGCCGAGCAGCCCGCGGCCTTGAAGCGTCCGGCTTCCCCATTCGCGCTGCCGGCAGATGCGGTTCTCGGCTGCGCTCCCAACGCAACCCGAAACCCGGCGCCTCCACCTCCTTCCCCGCCACGCTCCCCGGGTTCAGGTCTTATTATTATTATTTTGTTTATAATTTAATAGTCAGAGGTCTCTTTTTTAAAAATTCTCACCCAAGGACATTTTTTCCATTGATTTCTAGAGAGGGTGGGGGGTGGGAGAGAGACATCGATTGGTTGCCTCTTGCTCGCACCCCTCCCAGGGCTGGGGAACCTACAGCTGAGGTCCCTGCACTTGACTGGGACTTGAACCCCCGCCCGGCCTGCAGGCCCACCTCTGAGCACTGAGCCAAAGCAGCCAGGCCCGTCTGGTGTTCTAGGGCAAACACTGAGATGCAGAATCTCCGCCCTGGGAAATGCTGACCCTTAAAATTCGGTCTGCACTTTGCAAATGGGCAACAACAGGCCTGGGGGCTGAGAAACGACAGCATCGTAGATTGTAGACCTTGTAGACCGAGTGTAAGTGGGAGGAGGGGATCCGAGCTGAGCGTCCCCTTGGGAAGCATCGGATAATGGGAAGTGTTTTCCCACCTCCCCCGCTCCCCTCGGGTCCATGGCTTTGAACAGTGCTTTTTGTTAGATGCTGAATGGACCAGGTGAGACTTCAGAGCTCCCGTCAGCGCAGTCCAGTCACACGGTTTAAAGTGATTTTCAAGTAGCGTTGCCTTCATTCCAGTTCCGTTGGCTATTTTGCACGTAGCAACAATAAAGTGTGTCTGTGGAAAAGAAGTTAATACAAGGAAGTCAAGTCTGTAGGTTTCCTAGTGTGTAGGTCAAGCAATCCACCCTGATCCTGGAATGCTGAGAGGTCCGGGGCACTTGGGACCTGCTTCCTAAAATACACCTCCCGATACCATGCGCATGAGGAGCCTTTTAAATTATGCAGAAAAGATGGGCCTTTCCTTTTCGTCTCAACACCGAGTTGAACATTTGTTCATCCAGCTCTGAGGTGATTAGGAAGGACGGTGGTGGGAATCCACCATAATTCTGCCTCACCGAAGCCGTCTTAAAACCTTTCCCCCTTAAACCGAACATAAGCACCTGCAAACTGCACACATGAGTGTTTCTTCTCCTCCAGGAAAAGATTTTAAAAAATAGCAGAATAGTCTGCAGACCACGTTCTCTGAGAGTTGTCTCTCGGCCACATGTGACAGCCAGTCGTGTGCTGATGGAATTCTCTCATTCATTCTTCAGGTGAAATGCACCTGCTGAGAACGTCCGATGTCACTCAGGCCACGCTCGCCAGCGTAGCCCCCGTGTTTACTGTGGTGAGTACGTGCCGGGCGCCCGGTAACTTGCAGAGAGCACTTCTCCTGCGTCGCCTCTGGTCCTGGGGCTGTGCTCAGCCAGTGGGACTTCACTGCCGACTCCAGAGCCCCGGCTCAGCTTGTCCAGCAAAGGAAAAGGGAGTCTTAACCCTTCACTCAGAACCGACTTTAACCCAAACAAGGGCAGTGGGGTTCCCATGTGTATTTCAGTGTTTGTGGGATATCATAGTACCATATGGTATGATACCAGAGCGTTTACTGATTTGGGAGAAAAAATATTTTTTTTTATTATCTCTCTTCAGACAAAATTTGACAAAGGAGGAAATGTGACGTCTTTTGGTGAGTATCTTCAAGTTTCTTCTGCATCGTCTCTTTTTAGTCATTGAATGCATGAGTCTGACAGAAATCAAGGAATGGCAGGCGGTGCTGTGAACGGAGCACCCTTAGCGTGGATGGGTGCGTGCAGGGAGCGGTCTTTGTGCAGCGTGTCCATCAGTCCTCATTGGGGCTGCGGTGCCTGGACTGTCCTCAGGGCCACTCGTGCTCTGCCCGGACGTTAAAGGCACAGAAACACTCTTCCCTCCATCTCTTCTTCACTCCTGGTCCACAGCCATGCCCCCTGCGTTCTGGGTGAGGCGGAGTCACGGACCTCCACCAACAGTGGGTGACAGGAGACGAGGGGCGGGTGGGCGCTGGGCTCTGCTGGTCACTCTGTTTCTAAAGTGAAACAGATCCCTTCACGGTCTGACCTCGGAGGCAGGCTCAGGTCTCCCATGCACCCCTCCCATGACCCCCTCCTGCTGTTACTGAGGTCCTCGGGAACATTTCGGGGTTTTTGCTCAGTAGCTCCTTCGAAGGCTGTTCTGCCTGGAGCGCTGCCACACCTGTGGTTCGACTGGACAGGTGCAGACAGTAGTGTCTCCAGTACCACTGCTTGGGACTTGTCACCCATTCTGCTTCCTCTTGGGGAATAAATTGAGTTTTCAGGCAGAGTCTAGTCTGAGGACGGACTTTTTCTCGTTTTGTGTTAGTCCAAGAAGAAAGAAAATTGAACCTCTCTCTTCCCAGATTTAAAATATCGAAGGTGATAAGGGAGTGAGAAATAACAGAGCCTGCAGGTCCTGCTAAACAAAGGTGCCGTGCTAGCGCCGGAAGAGGCTGAGTCCCTCTGACAGGCGCGTGGTTTTATTTCCGCCCCCGGGAGCGCCTGCGCCAGAAAGACTTCATGAAGGGGGGAAGGAGGAGGAAGAATACTAGAGTCAGACTAGCTTTAGCCTGAGTGTGTCCTTGAGGTAAAAACAGGCATTTAAAACACTCCTGTTATCTTTGGTTTCTGGTAATAACAAAACTATCTTGATGGTGGTGGGAGGGTGCTCTGATAGGAAGACTAAGCTCTTTGCTGGATTAGACCAGCCACTTTTTTTTTCTTGAAAACATTTCTTTTTCAGAAAGGAAGAAAACGGACTTATATCAAGAATTAGGTCTTCAGGCCAGAGATCTGCGGTTCCAGCACCTCATGAGCATCACCACCAGAAACAACAGGATCATCCTGAGAATGGAGGTGAGGGTCCCTCCCAGCGCCGTCAGCCACGGGTTAAAGTGATTCTGGAACAAACGCAGCTCTGAGACACGGGGAGGGAAGCATGTGGCAAAACAAAGTCAGCCGACATTTAATTGTGTAGATGGCATGTACGTGGGTGTTCACTGTATACTTTTTCTGTATAAAAATTTTCATAAAATGTTGGAAGAGGTGTAAAGAAACCACCCTCTAGGCTTTATATCACTGACAGTGGCACAGGCTCCTTCTGTGTTGCTCTCCTAGCATAACTCGCTGTCACGCCCTCTCTCCCCGCAGTACCTGAAAGCGGTGATCACCCCCGAGTGTCTCCTGATCCTGGATTATCGTCACTTAAACCTGGAGCAGTGGCTGTTCCGGGAGCTCCCCGCGCAGCTGGCCGGAGAGGGCCAGCTGGTCACGTACCCTCTGCCCTTCGAGTTCAGAGCCATGGAGGCACTCCTGCAGTACCGGGTAAGCCCGTCCGTGCCGCCGCCTGCATTGGTCCTGGCCCACATGCCGTCGAGGAGGAAGACACGTTAGCAGGCCAGGACAGCGCAGGCGAGGGCACGGAGAGGAGCTGCCGAGGATGGGGCACAGCTGCCTGGTGGGAGGCGCATCTGCTGGAATGTGTGCCGTCAGTCTCACTGCTGTTCCCGCTGCAGGGGTGGGTCCCAGCACCCTAGCCGCTGGCACACCTGTCTCTGTGCACCCGCCAGACACCCGCCATGCCGCGGGGCCTGAATAAGAACAGCACTTCTGACTTCACACTGATTTATTTTTAAGTCCAAGTTATGTTTTAGTTTTCAAAGAGTTTTGTTCATAGGAGTTTGGACTGTACTCTGTTTACAAAGAGCAGAAGTATTTGCCAAATGGAAGTTCGAGTTGTAACCACGGAAGGGCGGATTTCCTTCCACTTAATCGATCCTCCCGCCTTTCGTGACAGGAGTTAGTCCCCCTCAGGTGCGAGCCTGGGAACAGCATGTGCCTGGTCCTCTGTCCCCAACAGACGGTGTTAGGGTCGCCTGGGACAGCCGTGCCTGCAGGCTGCACTCTGCAGCGTTACCCGCTGCCCCAGCTGTTCCAGACGGTGTCTGATCCCAGGGTTCACTGGCCCTGAGCATTCTGAAAAGGTTGGATTCTCATGCGAGGTCGTGTTGCTCTAGATCAGCAAGCTGCAGGGGAAGCTGCGCCTGCTGGAGCCCCGGATCCTCGACACGTTGGAGGCGTTAGTGGACCCCAAACACTCCTCTGTGGACAGAAGCAAACTGCACATCCTGCTGCAAAATGGCAAAAGGTGAGCAGGTGTCCGGCCCTTCCCTGTCCTGGTTCAGTGACGCGTGTAGCCTCAGCCCAGACACAGAATCCATGGGGTCATCACTGGTCTTTAAGTGCCAGCCAGTGCTGCTGCTGGTGGTGACTTCCTGTCGGGGCGCCGAGTGGAGGGAAGGGTGATGGGGCAGGAAGGCTGCATCCGGCTCTGTCGGGCCCTGCTTGGGGGCTCAGTTCTCGGTCTGCGTGTAGAAGGCAGAGCACCGCTGACAATCCCTGTCCACCGCCTGTGTGCGAGGGGGGCACTGTCCCCATGGTGACACGGGTCCGTAGTCCATGGCGCCATCATGCCTGTGCACCTGCCCTTCCAGCCTGTCCGAGCTGGAGACGGACGTTCGGATGTTCAAGGAGGCGATCCTGGAGATCCTGGACGACGAGGAGCGGCTGGAGGAGCTCTGCCTCAGCAAGTGGAGCGACCCCGAGGTCTTGTGAGTGGCCTTCCTGCCCCGGACTCCCAGGCCGAGCTCCTTCTTCTCGGGCACTTAGCCTCCCTCGGGGGCACTGGGCCATCCCTCGGGCTCGGAGCTTGGGGCTCATGCACTCGGTGTTCCACTGTCGTCTGTAGACCAGGGTCAGAAACTCACACAGACGCTTTGTAATGTGCACAGAGGACGGGCTGCAGGCTTAAGCGTCACCTCTCTCCCATAAGGAGGCTGAGATGACAAGAGCTGGGCCCAGCAAGGCCTAGCAGCAGAAACGGGGACACGCTGTCGCCCTTCGCTTGTGTCCTGGGCGGGTCCCCTCTGCCGGGCGGCAGTGTGGGTGGTGGAGCTCTGCCCCGCCTCCTGGGGGCGGACCCCTGTGTCGCATCCTCATCACATCGCTCTGTGCGGGGCCAGGCCTGGGGCAGGGATCTCTGTGCCTTCGTGTTCGGCCTGTGGTTTTGGTCACTGGTTTGTACTAACTTGTACCAGTCCGTCCGCGTCACACGTCTGGACGTCGCTGTCACGGGTAGTGGGGCTCCCTCCCTGTGCAGCAGGGCCTGTGCGGGGACTTCCCTGTGTGGTGCTCGGGGTCAGGGGATGGCCCTCAGACGGGCCGTGACAGACAGGGCAGGCGAGTGGGCTCGCTGGGAGCGGCGTCATGTGCTCACGCGGGGGTTGGGTGTGTGGCGCGTGGGCGCTGCTTACGTGGCGCTTGTGATTGGAGTGAGCAGAGCAGCGCGGGCATCGACCACGCGGAGGAGATGGAGCTGCTGCTGGAGAACTGCCACCGGCTGGCCGAGGACCTGGCGCACGCGGCCCGCGAGCTGCGGGCGCTGATCGACGACTCGCAGAGCGTCATCTTCCTCAACCTGGACAGGTGGGCGCGGCGGACGGGCTGCTCAGGGAGAGGTGCGCCTGCCGCGGCGTGGGCCTGGCTCCGGGGGGCGGGGCAGTGCCTGCAGCCCCGGGGGCCCTGGCCGTGGGCCGGCTGACTGACGCTGTCCCGCAGCCACCGCAACGTCATGATGCGGCTGAACCTGCAGCTGACCATGGGCACCTTCTCGCTCTCGCTCTTCGGCCTGATCGGAGTTGCCTTTGGAATGAATTTGGAATCGTCCCTTGAGGAGGTGAGGGTGTTGTTTCAGTGAGCCAGGGGTGGTTTTTTCATGCTTTGAAGGTCCGTTTTTAAAATAGACTTTAAAAATATAGTCTTCACTGTCCACTCCCCTCGGGACAGGAAATGTGTCCTCTGGCCCGTCCACAGCCAGGCAGGCTCCAGACCTTGTCTCCATGGCACAGACAGCAGGCTTCCTGCTTCTCAGACGGAGTCACGCTGGCCGTGCGGGAGGCAGGCAGCGCCCTGGTCAGCGGCACAGCGTGTGGCTCAGCCGTCACAGCTCTGAAAGTGGGCGTGATTGTTCCCACTTCACAGATGAGAACAGTGAGGCCCAGAAAACGTCAGTGACTTGCCCAGGGCAGAGCTAGAGAGTCACAGTCGCATTTGAACCCAGAGACCTGCAGTCCCTCTGCTCTGCGCCTGGCATAGGAACGTGGTGTGGTGCTGGCCGAGCTCAGCTCGTCCCTGTCAGACTCCTGGGCATGAACCCGACCCTGCGCTCAGCACGCTCGGGCGCGGGTTCTGTGTCCTGGCGAGTCCAACGGGCCGTGTCTCTGGCCTCCAGCCTGCGCTGCCCATGGTCTCCATCGGAACCCCTGTTCACCTTGAAAAGTGGTCGTTACGAGACATGAACCTGAGGCCACTCCGGCCTCCAGCTGTTCAGTAGCCCTGGATGCCCTCAAGGTCAACACCAGACGAACCTCCCCCAGGGCCTTCGTGATCCACACGCACGCTGCTCTCTTCCAGGACCACAGGGTGTTCTGGCTGATCACCGGGATCATGTTCATGGGCAGTGGCCTGATCTGGAGGCGGCTGCTGTCCTTCCTCGGGCGGCAGCTAGAGGCTCCTATGCCTCCGATGGTATGTAGTGCGGGTCCCAGCCGGAGGCCGAGCGGTCACAGCCATGGCTGTCACGCCACAGCCCGTGTGGGTCAGGCAGACTCCTTGACCCTGAGCGGTTATTTAATGCCTCAAAGCCACTCGGTTCCCCACCGCCAGGCACGTCAGCACCACCTGCCTCGCGGGGTTAGGGGAGCTGAGTAAGATAATTTGTGTGAAGCACTTAGGAGCTGCCCAGAACACGGAGAACTGCTTGCTGGGGGGTTGGGGGGGGGGCGTGGGGACAAGCGTTACAGCCCAGGAGATGGCAGTGGCCCTGCCGCGGCTTCATTACAAAACGGAAACGCAGGAGCCAGCACTGTCACCGGGAAAAGAGAGGTTACCGCCCCCTTCTCCTGTCCCACGTGACACACTGGTCCATGGCGGGTCCCCTCAGCGGTGACGGGATGGCCTTCCTTGTAAGAAAGACACCACTAACACGCCACTTGCCTGCTTTGCTCAGATGGCCTCCTTACCTAGGAAGACCCTGCGGGCAGACGGACGGCTGGACACGAAGCCCAGCCTCAGGCCGGACGGGCTGGGGTCCAGCAGGAGCGTCCTCACACCCCGGTGAGCGCGGCTCGCACGGCAGTCGCTGGTGAGACCGAGCCAAGCACAGAGCTACGTTGTCGTCCGAGGAAGGCCCGGCGAGCGAGCGACCGACGAGGACGTGACCGCGCTTTCAGGGCTCTGAGGAGACCACGGGCTTCTTGGTCAGAGGCCAGGACTCTGCTCTGCAGCCTGCAGAGCTGCCCTTACAGCCGGAGGCCGGCAGGAGCTGACTGAACCGCGGCTGCGGCCTGGACCTGACTTCATGCGCATCGAGGAAAGGTGTGTCCAGCAGCCGTGGTGCTGAGACGGCCCGTCCGAGAACAGCCTGCTCAGCGGCCGAGGGCTGGCAGCGCCCGCCAGCCTTACACTCCGCAGTCCGTGCTGGGAGCCGCTGGCAGCGCCCGCCAGCCTCACACTCCGCAGTCCGTGCTGGGAGCCGCTGGGAGTGCACACCAGCCTCACACTCCACAGTCCGTGCTGGGAGCCGCTGGCAGCGCACACCAGGCTTACACTCCGCAGTCCGTGCTGGGAGCCGCTGGCAGCGCCCGCCAGCCTTACACTCCGCAGTCCGTGCTGGGAGCCGCTGGCAGCGCACATCAGGCTTACACTCCACAGTCCGTGCTGGGAGCCGCTGGCAGCGCCTTAGTTTCTTCCATTCGCTCCCTTCATAGATGGTGAATAAAACGGGGGCACGATCCTCTCACGTCAGCTTTATGTGGATTCCAGTTCATCAAGATTTCAGCTTTCAACCCCAAACTGCTCTGTTTGCTTGGCTGCAACTATGCCTTTGGAAGTAGAGCTGAAAAGAGTTTCCTCAGTTCCTGGCTCTTAGCTGGTTCCTGGTGGGGGTGGGGGTGGGGCACCCCCAGGCTGCAGGCGGGGAGACGCCTAGCTCTGCCTTCCCCTTCGCTTTCAACCAGAGCTCGGGTCAGAGCAGTGGCTGATGGCTGTTCGCCTCAGAGCTGCCGTCCTTGACGCCCCACCTTTCCTGTTTCTGGAGGTTCAAGGCAGGGGTCCCCCGGCCCTAACATTAGCCCCAGGCCTCGACGACTATACCCTAACCCTAACCCTGACCTTCGGTTTGTGCCCTAGCCCTCTGCCCAGAGCTTAAGGCAGCCACCCACGCACCTCTGTCTCCTCCCCTCCCCCCACAGCCCAGCCTCGGGCTCACGAGGACAGAGAGGCTCCCTGGGCTCTAGGGAGAGTCCGCCTCACCCCTCAGGTCCCACCTTCCCTTGGCCTGAGCCAACATTCACCCACATGCCAGTGCCCGGGGGGAGGCGACCTCGAGCCTCCCCCACCCGCTCCAGCCTTCCCAGGTCCCCACGTTTTTAGCGATTCCCGGGACCTGCCTGGGTGGGTGTTTAAAACGCACTTCCTAGGGCACAACCCCCGATCTTCTGGAGGCCAGCATAAGCCACCACCAGGGAGACCAGATCCCCAGGGCGGGCTCAGCTGACCCCTCCTGTGTCCCTCAAAACAGTCACAGGCTTCACCCTCTTCTCCACCTGCAGCCCTGTGCCGGCCGTCTCTGAGCTCCTCCGCTGAGCCGCTCAGCTCCTTGTGCCTTAACCATTCCCTAACCCTCACCCCAGCCCTAAGCCTGACCATAGCCTTGCCCTAGCCCTGACCATACCCCTTAACCCTAGCCCTGAGCCTAATCATAGCCTTACCCTAGCCCTAACCATACCCCTAACTCTCACCCCAGCCCTAAGCCTAACCATAGCCTTACCCTCACCCAAGCCCTAAGCCTAACCATAGCCTTGCCCTAGCCCTAACCATACCCCTTAATCCTAGCCCTGAGCCTAACCATAGCCTTGCCCTAGCCCTAACCATACCCCCTAACCCTAGCCCTGAGCCTAATCATAGCCTTGCCCTATCCCTAACCATACCCCTCATCCAGAGCAGCCCTGCAGGCAGCGCGGGCGGGCGTCACAAAGGCACCCCGTGCTCTGGGCCCCGGCTCCGGAGGACACTGTGGGAGGCGGCGGCTCGGACCCCTGTACGGGGCTTGGCGATTGGAATAAAACTGCTGT